TGGCTAGATAGGAAAACTTGTGGACCTGTTGTATTCTTATCAGCTACCACAGATGGGTTCTGAGGACTTGACACATTTTTAGAAGTACTATGGTTTCTTCATTTGTCGGCATTGCTTACTCAGCATTGCTGTAGTCTCCCACTGCAAGGAGTACTTAATCAGGTGACATGAGGTTCATGCTCAGTATCTATGATTCTACAGGGAATAATGAATCCAGTCCTGAGGACCTGTTGGTGGTAAATATGATACCACTTCTTTCCTGTGCCAAAGCACTAGCTTAAATTTTTATAGAGTCTTTACTCTTTTTAAGTCTGGCCACAAAGATATCCATTCAATGTGGGCAACAAATGGCACAGGAAGACCCATTTTTCGTGCTACTCTGTGTCTGGCTCATTTTCATTTGTAGTATTTTGTCTTAGATTTGATAATGTCGAAACTAGAAAAGAGTCAAGATAAATAAGTTAATTAGCTGCTGTCTCAGATTTGTTTGATGAATTTTTCAGCAGGTCAAAGTCATGTTTTGTACTGTGTTCACCTAGTCATAGATAAGATGTTAGTACATTTTGAGGAAAATGCAACTTTAGAATGTTTATACCTAACAAGCAAGTTAAATATGGCATAAAGTTGCAGATTTCAGCTGATACCAAGATTTATTATATACTAAATGCAGAAATATATGCTGGTACTGAAGTAAAAAACCCATCTTATCAGGCTGTAGAATTATTCTGAGACTTGTGGAATATATTGAAGGTACCAAAAGAAATATTAGCTGTGTTACTTGGCACAGCTCAGTGCAACTTCTTGATGAATTTTAAAAGAAAAGCTTGACTTGTGTAGGCTCTTTGAAAAAAAAAAAAAAAATAAGATTCTACCACCTGAATTTTACAAAATAGAAATCGAACTGTTCAGTTTCAAGTATTTGGATTTTATGCTCTCAATATATTATTTTCATGTGCCAAAAAGGTCAGAGTGTCATATTAATATCAAGTATGTGCCACAGTGATTCTGTTGACAAAGAAACTTAAAAGCCTGGTATTATTCACTTTTATAACAACCTAAAATCTGGAGTTGACACTTTTGATGGAAAGTGTGCATTATATTAGACATCCCTGAGAACCAACTGTTGGCCATGGCATTTTTTATACCATTTTAAATGTTGTGGGTGTTAACTCCCATGTATTGTACTGGTTTGCACAACGAGGTGAAATGATAAAATATTTTGCTTTTATTAAACCTCCTGCAATGCCGTTAACTGAGGAAAACCTATTAGTAGCTATTCCAGAATAGCTACTAAAAAAGTGCCCATAAAAATACAAAAACTTATAGCAGAAATCCTGGGAATGGAGATTCCTGTTATAGGAAAGCCCAGACAATCTACTGATGAAAACAATAGAAAAGATGTGCCATATGCCCCAGCAGCGAGGACAGAAACACTGGTATTCAATGTGATGCTAGTAAAATGCTAATTTCTAATCAGTGCTATAAGACACTTTGTTCTTTTTGTGAAAATTAATTTTGGTTTTTGTTACAAATACTTATGCAATGTGTTTATAAGTAAATATTTAACATAATTTTTTTACTTTTATAAAATTAAATTTATGACTTTTGGGGACCATGAGTAGTATGTTTGAAGCCAGAACAAGTGAGTGGTCGCTGCAGGTTAATGAAACCCAAGACTGTAAGGGTGAGGAGCAACAGGAGGCAGGAAAAGAATAGGTTCATATGCAGTCAGAGATGTTGATTAACAACTGGAAATTTGGATCTAGAGCTCAGGGGAGAAGTAGCGACTGAATAAATTGTGGGAGTCATTAGCATGTGAGGATAACTGGAGCCTGAACTAGAGGTGACATTGTATAGCAAAGATGAGTAAAGACAGGGGCAGCTAATTTTGGAGCTTTAGGTACCTCAAGGAAAAGAATGCTGCACATTCACCTCTGTGCTTGTACAGAAAAGATGCTTAATAAAAGATGCTTAATAGGCGTTTGCTAAGGGAGTGAGTGCGAAGGTGTCCATCCTTGCAGTGGCACATAAAGAACTGAAATTCCACTGTCACGTCCAAGGGAAATTCCATCAAGTTGTCCTCTGAAAGACCCTTTGGGGACTACATGACCCTGATTGCTTCCTGCTGCTAGAATGAGATTATGGAAGATGCCTTCCTCATCAGCACCTGGGCTGTAATTAACTGCTAACTATAATACAGCCTTCATATTATGATAAAGTAATTAACTTCCTATAAAACAAAATAGTTCCAAAATTATTCATAGTAGTCAAGCAATTTATTGTAGCTTTTAGGCTTTAGTTTTCATTTCTGCAAGTTTTTGCTTGCACTTTATACCACTCAATGGAAATACTCTTAAATGTTTCAAAAGTAAGCATCTCTCTTTTTGAATAGTAGATCATTGCCTTTCTAATGAATGATCTTGGGAGATAATTAGGGTGAGGTAAATATGTTAATAGAAGTTTTTTTTTAAAAGCAACAGGTCAATTAGCTATAGATTTTCTCTTCCTGATTCTTAAGGCTTGTATTCATAATTCCATAGTTATCTTCTTTCTAGTCGCTTCTGTGCCTGTTCTTAATAAAGTTCAGAGATACTTTTTCTCTTATTTACTTCATTTTTATAAATTAATTATTATTTATAATGCAGGAAAAAATAAAGCAACTTGACTAGTAATCAAGATATAGTTTCTGTAAAGGAAAAGTGTCCATGTAAGAAAAAAAATGTCATTTTGGATAAAGCAATTAATGGGATATGTACACATTCCTGAATAATTTTTTTTTCTCTTGAAATATTATGTCTGCAGACAAAACCTTGTTTGTTGAATTTTGTTAGGAAAAAAATGTGCAAGTAAAAGGAAAATTTGCTAAAATATTTTCTTTTAAGTTTAAATCATATTTCCTAGTAAAACAAACCATCTTGGGAATGCAAGTATCTCTCATTCCACTGGTGTTTTGCTTCTAGTGGGAAATAGCAATCAGCTGGAGACAGTAATCATTCAGGGCTTGATTTGGGCTCACACACGATGACTTAAGCTACTAAGGAGTAAGAATGTGCCTGCACTGCATCCCTGACTTCTCCCAGAAGCACTTAGAGTATGTGTGCTTACAGTTTTTTTATTGTCTCACAATTTTGGGGAGTAGTTTTTATGATTCACATCTACAGTTGCAGACAGACTCACTAAGGGTTGCTGAGCTGTTGTGCAGCAGAGCTGAAGTTGCTAGTTCAGTTTAAAAGATAGCATTCTTTCCTTCATGGGTTGCTAAGTCTTGATATTAGCCTAGCCAGGAATGTGTTTAAAATGACATTTCAGTGTTTCACTTCAAAGGTAGTCTAAAATCGAAGCTCATACCATGTAAAATAAAAAGTGTTCATCCTACAAGTAATGGTTGAATTTAAGTTAAATCCAGAGGGGATGAACATTTGACATTTAAGTATGAGAAAGAGGGCACCAGCCACGAGAGCTGACAGAGGGAACAGCACCCCATGCACTCAGGAGTCAGGGTCAGAGGCACTGGGAAGCAGAGCAGTTCTTACCATGGAAGCTTCCCATCAACAGACAGACCACCTGGAGACAAGTGAGCCTCGTGTAGTGGAAGTATCTAAACAGAGCCCAGAAACCATCTTGGGGAACTCTTGGGTGGAAGGTTATGTTATATTCAGTGCTTTTTAGGTTCCTCCCCAAGGTCGAGCTGTACCAGTTAGCACTACCATCACCTGAGGCAGTGGGCCAGAACCTCAGCGCGCAGTGCTTAAGGTGAAGTTGGCATCCTCACAGTGGACCTAAATGTATCTTCTCCCCTTGGGAATTGTGTGTTTTCATTAGACTTTACGGGGGAATTTTTACCATTTAACAGGTCTTTCAAGACTAAGGTATCTATTCTTTTAAAATTACTTTCAGACACTTCAAAGCACCTTCTTCTGTTTCCTGTAATTCTTTACCCAGCAGCATTTGTTAACTTGTTTTCATCATCTCTGTCTCTCTTTCCAATTATCCCCTGGCTCCCTCCCTTTCTTCATTCTTTTTTATTCCTCTTCAAGTCATTTTTAATCACCTCGTTGACATTTTGCCAAAAGTGTTAGACTTAGCAAGAGGAGAGCAGATTTTGAAAACTGGTGGTGATGGTAATGAACTGCCACCAGTAGTCAACACTCAGTTATTTTTCTGGCATCAACAGTGTTCCACAACTAATGGCTGATGAGGGAGTTGACATTTATTTATAATAGTTACTGTTGACATTTTTTCATTGCTGATTTTCAGAATCTTTTGTGCTGTAAAATAATTATTATGATGGAAGTTGTCATTGTCATTTCCTTGACTCCCACAGGCTGTGTTTGACGTGGACAAGAAGAAAGGGCTAACTCTGATTGAGCTCTGGGAAGGCCTGACAGTGGATGACATACAAAAGAGCACTGGGTGTGATTTTGCAGTAAGTGTTTCTGTGAGCAAATCCAGCCTCTTGCGCTGTATCGCAGGCTCAGTGAATGAGTGTTTACAAGACGTGAACCATTAATTTGTGATCATTTTGGGAAATGACCTTTGTGGTGAACAGAAGAGGAAAGAAAGGAGCCTCCAGAAGAGAACAGGTGGGAGCAGGAGCCGTGCTCTGACTCAGCCTGCCCTTGGCTCTGGAGTAAAAATTGGGGAGGAGCCACAAAAGCATCTGGAGCAGAAGGGCGAGCTTGATGTCTCAGCCCTGTTCTGTGAAGTGCCAGGCAGTCCCTTTCTTTGAGTGTATGTCATATGTGATTGAACTTGATTAGCTCAAAAATGTGCACAAGATATGGAGAAATGATGCTTCCTTCTTTTAAAACCCATTTATGATAGGATGTCTCAGCCTTTTTGAAATTAACTAAAAGTAAAGCCAACATGTCTCTGAAATGGAAGAAAGATTAGATTCTTAAGATACTTTTGAAATGAGAGGAAAAAATAATAAAAGAAGAAATCTGCTAATTAAAATGAAATGCAACAAGAAGAAAACATGTTAATGTTGCAGCTACTCTTCTTGGAGAAACAGATTTGACAAAAATTATTTGACAAGTCGTGCATAAGTTTCATACATAACTTCTTATATATCCTACATGCTTGGCTTGTATCTATCAGTGCATAACAAATTTCTTTAAAACAATTTTGTTGCATAATTCATTATCCACATAATAACTGTTCCTGGTATTATACCTAGGTCTTTGTCTATTAACCTTTTCTGAATTTCCTTTTGGAAAAAAGAAATCCTCTCGTAATATCTTATTTGAAAAGCACATATGCTAAGTATCCTTGGGAAGGTGTGTTGTTTATACTTTAGTATTTCTTACTCCAATGATAAAAACAAATCAGTCTCAATCAGCTGTTCTTTATTTTTGTTTTCCTGTGTGTGAAAGGGTTACCCTGTGTGTCAGGTGATATTTTTGAGATCCATAGACTGTTCGGTTGCCTGCTTTAAGAGAATACAAAACAGAACACCCTCATTATCTAATTCTTTGTTATACATGCCAGTAAATCAAGAATGGAAAGGATGAGTTGAAACTATTTTTGCTTTGTTTTCACATAAAAAATGCCATTTTCCATATCTTCGTACCTTGAAAAATATCCCTGTGGTCTCTCTTGTATTCCAATACCATCCCTTCTTTTATAATTAGCTTTACCAGATACATAGAAATTGTACATATTTATAGGATATTGTGTGATATTTCAGTACATATATACACTGTGTAATGCTCAAATCAAAGTAAACAGATCTGTCTCCTTGATTATTATGTCTTTATGATGATGGAAACTTTTAAAATACTTCCTTTCAAGTTTTTGAAATGAACATTAACTTATTATTACCTATAGTCACCTGACTGTAAAAGAACATAAGAGAATCTCTTACTGCTGCCTATGTGTAATGCAGTGCCACTGATCAACCTTTTCCTGTCCTTCCTCCTCCCTACTCTTCCTCAGCTCTGAGGAAGCACAATACTATCTCAACTTCTACAAAATTAAGGGTTTTTAAAATAT